TCTTTGATAGTATGTGGAGCTTCAAATATGGTGCAAGTGTGATGAGTCGTCATCACATCTGTGCTAGTCGAGGTATGCGAGGTCGACTTCGAGAGATAGGATGTCGACTCGTGGATATGCGAGGATTCAGAGGCTACGCTTGACTAATCCTTAGTGGCGAGGTCATCTTGGTTCAGTCGACTGTCGGAAGTCGACTTAGGGTATCAGGATGCTTGGGCGCTACTCTTGCTGTTACTCCTTCATTGGTGCCGACTAGTGAAAGTCAATGTATTCAAGTCGACTTGCAAGAGTCGACTAGACCAATTTCTGCCTCTTCTTAATTGCTCTTGGCAGAACCGACCCTTGGGAAGTCGATTTGGGCATGTCGACGGAGTCATGTCGACTGCGGGTAGTTTAAGTGGTTCTCTGGTTAAGCAAGGAGCTTCTGGATCGGGTTATCCTTATGTGGCTATATCATCGAGGCTCGTTGATCTTTTGTGATCTTCCGGTCATTAACACACAATCACAACACGAAAAATATAATTTACAAAATTACATAATTCGATCCTAGATCCAACGAATGGATGTACATGTTTTCTAAACAAATCATTAAATCTATCCGGTCAACCCCCGGGCGAATAATTATTACAAACATTCATCCATAAATTCCTCGACATGCCCGAGGCTTTAAAAACAAATTTAAAACCATACATCACATTCAACAACATTCATCAAACACATAATCGACCATAACAGGGGATTAACTATTTTCCTGCAAAACCGAGTTATACAAATATAATCCAATATATGGCTGCGTTTGAACACATCTTGTCAAATAAAGCCGTAAAAATTCGAACTTTGTACAAAACGAATTAACCAAGTGCTCTGATATCACTTGTTGGGATCTGTGAGGATCTCGTTATGTACAAATCACGAATTCAATAGCAAACGTAAACCTATGCGCAACGGATCTAAAGGTTTGACGTAGAGAACTTACGGCTTAAAATTTATGTATATCTGGCTGACCACGAACGGTTGACCGCAATTGATTGACCGCAAATGACGTCTTGGGTTGCACGAACAAGATCATATCAAAACCGGATCAAACGGATGCAAACAGATCAAAACGAAATTTTGCAGCCTGGGAGCTTACAAAGGCGCGTGAGGGCGCGTGAGACGTCAGATTACGGCGATCTCGGCGGCGATGGAAAGCTCTCGTCAAGACGGTCGTCTGGGTATCTGTACGTCTCAATCGGACTTCCGGTTAGTCTATAGGTCAAAATATATTTCGTCACGGTTTACCTACAGATCTTCTACTGTATTACTAAATATACCCTTCTTCAACTTGTACCAGTGGAACAACAAGAAGAAGATAAAGCTCGAATGAGATCTAGAGAGAGAGAGGCGTGGGGCGTGTGTTTGTATAATGACAGATGTCTTCTCTTCTCATTAGCTTAATGATGTATATATAGAGCTACAGTAGGGACCCTTAGGAGATTAGGAAAAGGGTTCCTTAATTAATTAGACTAACTGTGGGCAAAGCCCACTCCTCTAATTAATTAAATAATATTAATGGGCCACCAACATTATATTATTGCACTCTCTTTTCCTAGCCCAAATTACATTTGAGACTCCAATAATAATTACTCGATTTACCTCTCCACGTTTAAGATATAATGTCCATTAATTAATTCAATTACTGACAATCAAGAATTAATTAATTTATTATTATTTCACCGAAGCTAGTGCTCGTTCATCACATTCTTATTATGCTGAAACATAATCCACCTGGTTTAGCATAACAATCCTTCATTAACTCACTCCGGGACATCATCAAACTAACGCACATGGTGACCATAAATATCCTAACAACACATCTATATATAATAATATTACCCAAAACAGTAGGAATATTAATCCAACGAACTGAACCTCACCCATGTGAATCAAAGTAATATATATTATATATATGTGCCTGTTTAATATCTTACGGGTTAAGAGAACGCAGTAATTAACCGAGGCCTAATTCATTTACGACGATCAGTATAAAATGAACTTCTCCTCTCTGGGATCCTGTTCAATACATAAATGTACTAGTGCAACTAATCAGTCAAGACAAGCTGTACAATTGACACTACAACCGTTCGGATGGGGTGTTCATGTCCATCTAGGTTGAACAACTGTTCTTGTTCGCAAGTAACTGATAGAGTGATCTTCGGTTCGCCCGATGACGACCCACCCTATCTAAGTGCAGAACAACATAACGTAAAACTTGTTTAATCCAACACTTGTGGACTTTCAAAAAAATTCTGGACTTTCAGAAAAATCAGAATAATTTTTTCAAAATTTATTTCAAACATTTGTGGCGTTACTCATTTATTTCAAATCATTACCATAACATAAATCATCTAACTCCCAAAACGGGATTCATAAATCCATAAATCCTCAATTCACCCAAAACCGATTCCCAAAATAAATCTCAAGTTTTAAGACATGCCAATGTCAACGGGGCATCTCCCCAATAGTATCTCAATACTTCATAAATTCTCAAAGTTCGAAATTGCATAAATCATAAATATAGCGGAAGCAAAATCAATTAATAACCGGTCTCATAGACCGACTGCCACTCGCTCTACTCCGCCGTCGTACCCGCCTTGCTTAACCTGAAACGTGAATTTCAGGTGGGGATGAGCACAGTTGGAAAAAGTAGTGCTCACAACTATGCAGCAAACATTATTCACAATAATGAAACAGTAATCAATAATCAATAAGCTATGGTCTCAGGATGTATACGAATCAATTAATTATCCCAATCTCCTATCAATCACATCAATAATAGACTCATGTGCACACCTATACCAATAGACTACTGCCGGTAGATGTATCGAAGGCCCTCGCTCGGGTCATGCTTCGAATGCCCCATGGGCTTAACATCTATGCCCTTCGGTCCTACACATCGAATCGCCCCACGGGCTTCCATCGATGCCCGCTCAGTAGGAGTAACCCGCCGACCAAGGCCTCACCTTGGTCTTACCAACGGCGTTGTCCAGCACAGGGACCTTTAACCATGGTCTTACGGCTCAAAAAGGAGACTACCCTACGGGTACGTTCTATAGCTACGGGGATAACCGTTCGACGGCCGGTACAGCTCACATCGAAGGTTACATGGTTCACATGCATACATTAATCATACCATAATTAAAACAATAATAACATTTACAGCATAGACGATTTTAGAATAACAACCCACCTGGAATCCGTAGTAGCAAAAGTACACAAGCTGAAGAACATAGGTCGAGGGCTCGACTCCTCAACCCTAGAGATAAGGATTTAATTATTATTAAGGGTTTTGATTGAGGTTGACTAAGCCACACAACAACAGCAAGTAAAACACCCGAACAAGAAATCAAGGCAGGTAAGGGCAAATAGAACAAATTAAAAGGCTTATAAATTAAGCATTTCAACTCATGAAATTAGACACAATTTTTAATCATATGAAGCGCAAGTATAAGCTACAGCAAATACAGTAAAATAATGGCACCACTACAAAAGATAAACATGTTTTCTTTCTTCCTCTTTTCTCAAATAATTCAACAGCAAAGATCCAAGCCATATTAATTGATTTTAAAAAGTTATGGTAACACTACCTTTAACATGCTTATATCCCCAAACACTCAGCCAATACAAAATAAATTCTTAGCAAAACAGTGGCACCAGATTTGCGCATACAAAACATACAAACATATAAAGCATCTCAATTAGTCTTCCAGATAACCCAGACCTTAAGCATGCCGTTAAACTTCTTTATAAAACTAATTTAAGCTCACAATTGCAGCCAAATATAAGGTGGAAAGGTTCAGTTCAAACAACAACATAATAAGCCAAAATCTCAACATATCATGGGAGCAAATCACGGCCAGTGACACCACAAGCAAGCCTCCTTTTAATTTATTTTTCTAAAAAATTAACCAACAAAACCAGCATGCATTTGATACCTTTTATTCTCAACCTGTACATATCATATGGCAAGGCTATATAAACTGAATGCAATGATTTGAGTATATGCTATTTTCAGCATTTGAACCAGTTCAAATATGTTTCAGAAACTCGGCAAAATCATGCCATAGCTCAAGCCAAGAACACATAATAACCTTAGCGACAAATGGTAACAGCATGCTCAAAATAATACCCCTACATGCCTCATTTTTCATCCTTCAATCAAGCAATTATCTCCTAAGTCAAGGTCACATAAACTGAGGTCAAAATGCTTTGAATACCCTTCATTTCAGCATGCCCAAGAATGAAAATAAAAGTAAAACCTCAAGTCTCAGTAACCACAGCATATTAATTCGGCCAACAAACAACACATATACACATTCATTTTATTCTTCATTTCCACCAAGTATAACAAGCTCTCATAATACCTCGCCTTTATCTATTAATTTAGAATAAAGAGGTGAAGTTGAATAAAATTCCATAAAGAAACCACATAAATTCAGTATCAAAATATAACCCTACACGGATAACATAGAAAGAAAGGAAGCAACTCATACTAACCTTACTCAACACAAACAACTAGTCATCTAAAAAGAAATTCGTCTAACATGGCCTCAAATTTCTTAACTGCTGAAGCCTCAATCACACTAGCAGAATGTTAGGAACATCAAAACTTAGGTTCAAATGAGCACAACAGAGCACAATAATCTCAGTCAAGAATGAGGTATAGAGGTACAACCAATATACCTTTCGTCCCTGAATAAAATGGGGAAAAAGATTCGAGTCTCGTCCACACGATATGGGCTCTCGTTTCAGGGAAAAACGGGCCCGGTTCGCTGCAGTCCGGACACCCACACGTCCTCAAAGGCAGCTCGACTGCCACTGTTCAAGCTCTTGGGCTGTTGCCGGGTAACCGGACGTTGAAGAATAGACTATTCGGGGATCGCGACAAAGGATCGACCCGCTTCTCTTCTCGCCCGGGGCCCGAAAGGGCTGCCGTCCGTTGGAAAAGTCCCCGCTGCTCATCATATAACACAATCGGGGCTGCTTCTGCTCGGAAATGAAACCGACGACTGCTCGATAAGAGCCTCGGGCGATTGTTGCTCGGACACCGGCGAGTTGCTCGCGAAACAGAGGCACACGACGGCGGCTGGTAACGTCTCGGCGGTGGCTGGGATTGGCGGCGAGGAGGGCTCGCAGACATGGAGACCGGCGATGAGAGGCTGCTCGATGGACAATTTCTCGGCTGCTTGCTTACATGGGACGCCGGCGGATAGAGCTCGGCCTGCTGGTCGGGTCCGTCGAGAAGGAACAGAACATGGTGAATACGAGTCGTCGAACACGGATAGCAGGTCGCCGGTCGGCGGCCGTGGAACTCGCGACCGCGATGACAGAGAAGACGATTGAAGGGCTAGACAGTAAAATTCGCCGACCTCGCGTCGCCGGTGGTCTGCCGCAAAGGACTCGACGGCTGCAGGGAAAAACGCCGCTGATGGCTTGCTCGCGATGGGCTGCTCTTGCAGCGGGGTGAAGGGAAAAAGGATTTTCAATCTGCTCTCAAGTTCTCGGTAACGTGGTTTTGAGGGAGAAGAGATCGATGCTTTTCCAGCGAATTATCGGATGAGGGTTTTTTGTGGAGAGGAAGTTTCGTTCTCAGTCGCGATTTTAAGGAGAGACGAGGATAATGGTGGAGAGATTTGGGGAATTTGGTGAAGAATAGATCAATTTGCACGTGGATAAAGGGAAATTGGGCCAAGATGACCTTACAACATTGGACTCAAGTAAATAACTCAATTTGGCCCAGTTCCACTCAACTTGGACTAAAATCATTCCTCAACTGGGTTGAGAAACTCCAACTTTGGGCCGAATAAATAAAATGCAAAGGGGCTTGAAAATTAAATCGCACGATAAAATAAATAAATCGGATATTATTTATATATTATTTATATATATAATACACACAAATAAAATATAAAATAATAATATTAACACTAATACAAATACACACATATAATTAAATAATAACACTTAGACAATTAGGCATTTAATTACAATTTGGCAAATAAATAATGTTTAGACAGTTTAGCATTTAAACACAATTTAACAAATAAATCATTTTAGACATTTAATAATATCTAGCATTCAAATAATAATAATAATAACAATAAGCAATAATTTTCAAATATTCCATAATCAAACGGGGCATTACAATCTATCCTCCTTAAAACATTTCCGTCCTCGGAAATGCGAAAGAACACGCATCTAAAAGAAAACGACAGACTCGAACTGGAATTTCCAATCACGAGGTCTGGGCATCATTCTCCAGAACTCAATTTCGTTCCCATAAGTCCTATCGCCTTATACTCGAAAGACATGTACTCACATACAGGAACCAATCCGACTCGCCCTATGCTCATATGTTCACCTTCTTGCTTGGGAGGGTGATCAGTCATGCCCGATCTCAGACATACATCTTCTTGCAAGGGACCCAGTTCGGTTTAGCCTATACTCATGAGTATCAACGACTTGCTTCGTACCTAACAGCACACAAGACCTCAACAGGTCGTTCGGTGTGTTGTCAGCGTACTCCGACTACCTCACCATCAAGGTGGACACATGACGCTAAGTTTCAGTCTCGTATCCGAGTCACACTGACAACTTGCTCAAGATTTCATCACGGTCATAACTTGCATGCATAGTACTAAGGCTCGGGGTTCTAAAATAACACATTTTCATGAACAAATTGACCAAGGAAATGAACTCTAATCATGCTCAAACTTTTACACCATCAATGACATAATATATGAGGGTGATTAAGCTATCAATCTTGACTTAGGCATGCATGCAACTCGAATTCCAAATTTAAGGCCATTTATTCTTATAATTCGGAACTTATGATTTTTGACGTGCATGGCTCGATTTTACTTCATGATAAATCTTATTTTATCATAAAATAGCTATGAGAGAAAGATGGTTCGGGCTAACCTTCACCGAAAATGAAAAATGGCTTGCTAGGGCTTGCACACGGCTTTAGGGAGTTAGGCTCGACTTGCGGTGGAATTGGCTGCACTAAATGAGCTTAAAAGACTTAGAAAAATCTAAGAATTACTTAGAAGGTGATAAGCCTCGAGAGAAAATGGCTGCAAGTGGTTGGACCTTGGTGGCTCCCTTTCCCGGGCTGTGGCTCGCGCGCGGTGGGGCTGGGGTTGCCTTCTTGGTTTTTACCTTGATTTTTCACTAAGTGCTTGAGCTTTAATGTGTCAAAGGGCTTAAAATGGACTGAGGAAGGGTTCTTAAATAATGAAGAGAGCATAGTTAGCTAGGTGGGATGGTGAGAGACCAAAATGAGTGCATTTTCCCACTTTTTCATGAGCATGGGTTGAGGTTAAGGTCTTGGGTGGACTTGCACGGTTTTTGGTGATCATTTGAGTGGAAAATCAGAGCATGGTGGCTGATGGAGCAGGTCTGGTCGGCTGGATCATGCATGGGGGACATCCACTAGCATTTATGAATAAAATATTCATTTGCCCATCACTCCACTTTGAGCTAGTGCTAAGTTGACTTCCTTACTTTGTTAGGGCCATATTAGCTCTAAATAATCCTCATTAAGTCCCCTAAACACGCAAGTCTTGGGTCATGAAGGAATTGGGCCGAAATTTTAAGATTTGGGCTCAATAAGTTGGACTGCCACGTTGCCGCGCTAAGCCTGGGTGCAGCCTGCTGGGCTGGCACGAGGGGCCTGGCGCGAGAGGGCCTGGGCGCGGGGTCTGCTGGGCTGCGCGTGTGCATGAGGCTTGGGCCAAGTATAATGTATCTTTTTATGATCCAATGACTTAGAAAAATGTTAAGGATGATCCTAACATTTAACCAAGCATTTGGCATGGCTCGGCTCGGACCTCGGGCGCGGGAAGGCTCGGGAAATGGCTAAGGCTCGAGAATAAATGTCTAGTGCAACGCCCCAAATCAGAAATAATAGTAAGAACGGTTTCACTTCTCGACTATACGTGAAATCCGTAATTTTCAGAAATTCCCGAGTTATATTTAGTATGCAATGCTCAAATATGATAAATTATTCTTTGAATAATTCTATATCAAGTTTAAGTTAAGATTAATCCATTAATTTGGATTAATAAAGAATAGCAAGTCGATTTGAGAAATTATCGGCTTCGAACCCTAGTTCGGTTCCGAGTTATTTTCTAGTCAATTCCGGCCCTAGCCAAGTATTGGTATTTTATACTTGGAATATTTTTATAAGTGTATAATAATACCAAAGTCAAGTGTTGATCATATTAGAATCGAACCTTAGTCGAGTCTCGTGCCCGAGCCTCAGACCCGCGCTATTTAAGCCGCACCTTTGCACCCTACCGAGCCCAAGGCTTGTCCTAGCCATAGCACATTGGTCCTAATATTTTTCTAAGTATGGAAATCAGCAAGGAAGGCTCAACAAGTAATGAACTCAGCCCAAGGTCATTTCCCACGCGCAGCCCATCTCCCCGCGCAGCCCAGCCCGCGCCCTCGCGNGTCCCCGCGCCCAGGGCCCAGCGCCCAGGCCCAGCGCTGGCAGCGCGACAGCCCATCTTCTTAAGCCCAATTCCATAATTTTCGGTCCATTTTTCTCATGACCCAATTCAAACGTGTAATTAGGACTTAATGAGGGACTAATTGAGCTTAAGTTACCCTAAGCAATGTTTAAGGAGAATCAATTAGTGCCTAAGCAAATGGAGCATGTGCCACCATTATTTTATTCAAGGAGCTTTGTCCTTGTCCCCCATGCTTTGACCCCGACCAGACCTGCCTTCTCACCATTATTTTATGAGTTTGTCAGCCCCATTAGACTCTGAAAAACCCACCAAAGTCGTGCCCATCTCCTCCCCAAGTTCCCATACATGTGATGTGGTGAAATCCACTTAAAATGTCCCCCTCTTGACCAACCTAGGCCACTCCGCCCCTCAGCCTATTTAAGGACCTTTCCTCAGTCCCTTTTAAGACATTTGATCACCTAAAGCCCGAGCATAATGTTGGGTTCGATAGTACTGTACGGGCTGTACGCAGCGGAATTTAAAATTTTTAAAGTAAGTATTTATCGTATAAATACAACACCCGTACATACTAATTGCGAATTAACTGATCGTCATCTTTAAAACATGCATCATATACAAATTTTGATTTGTTACTATAAATTAAATACTAGTAAAAAATATTTACCGAATGTCTTGAACTTCTTCACTATTGATGATGGATGAGGGAATCGGTTCCCGGTTGTAACTTCAACGACTTGAGGTTACTCGCTAGAGGAATCCAAGTGTCTTCCCTTTAAACGTATCCACCCTATGAAGCCCGGTTCCGACGACTTTCCTTCGCTAGTAGAAAAGACTCGGTTTTCTTGTATAGGAATATTTATGAATTTTATTGGGAATTTTAAGAACTCTTTCTTGAAGTTTTATGAAGAACACTTTCTTCTCTTTCTAACACTTAGAAATTTAGGATCAAAAACTTC